GGCAACCTCCTAATGTCTCTAACCATGTCCAGACTGGTGCCTTCAGATTAATATTCATGGGACTCAAAAGCTATGGAGAGTCTCAGGACCATGACGAAGGAGTAGCTAGGTCAGATACACAGGTGGAAAGAAACCAGAAAAAAAAAACCCCTGAACTGCTGAACGTTTTAGTGTCCCATAACTTTGCTTTCATTCAATATCCAGAGCTACAGGCTGATCATAGTGATTGTTCCTGGCTTCCATTTGTGTTTCTGCTAAAGTTTAATTGCAACAGATGAGAGATGTGATAAACAATCCACCAGGAATGGTCTAGGTGTACTTAATCCTGCCTCAGTGTGGGGAGATGGACTAGGTGACCTCTTGAGATCCCTTCTAGCTGTATATTTCTGTGATTCTACATCTAAACAATGCTACTCTCTAAAAATCACCATTTGGTGTGTCTCTTCTTCCAGTCTATCATGAGGAGCTGAGTGCACCAGTGAGGAGAAATAAAGAAGAACCAAAAGCCCGTCCACTGAGAGTGGGGGATACGGAGAAGCCAGAACCCGAGCGTGAGTACTAAACACAAAGCCTGGCCAGCTTGTTGTAGGTATCAAGTCTTCCTTATCCAAGATCCTTTAACAGATATGACCTTCTCCTCTAGCCCTCTAAGGCATGGTGTCCTGAGCTGGTGGGAAGGTCTTGTGTTGTAGAGTGCTTTGCCTTTGATCTTCAAAGGAAAGGTGATGCCTATGCCATTCTTGATGTGCTCCCTGCTAGATGTCATGAAGCAACCTGGATGGAAAATGTCCCTCCTGCTATCTCCCATCATAGGTGAAGGGTCAGGATTACATGTAGAAAATGACCCATTCACACTTTAGCTCTCAATCCCACGCTTGGCTGTACACCATTGCTATCAGTCTCTGCTCAGCTGAGGCCCAAGGCTGGAGTGATGGTGGATGTTGAAGGTCAGGATTTTAAGTGCATTGTGCAGACCTGTTTTGGATAGGGGGATGTGAGAGAAGGATTTGGACTAATAAAGAATCAAGTCTGAAGAACATTGGCATTGTTGAAGGCCCAAGTGTAGAATAGCAGGGGTGCTGCAGGCCAGGTGGTTTAAAGGGCATTAGACTAACTCTTTAGGAGGTGAAGGAGGAGGATGCTTCCCTGCACTATCCTCTTTATTAATTCAAGAATAGAAATAAGGTATGTCTGTCTCTCCTTCCAAGGGTCCCCTCCGAATCGCAAGCGCCCACCCAATGAGAAAGCAACAGATGACTACCACTATGAGAAATTCAAGAAGATGAACAGACGATACTGAACTCTGCTCAGTAGAATAGCATGGACTGAACATTTTGCTGGAGCTTTTAAGTGCAAGATAGTGTGTAAATAACTCCTGAAGAGGGCGGGGTCACTTCCTACAGATTTTAGTATTACCCACAAGATTTTTCTCACAGTAAACCTGTAGTGAGTTAGCGGGCAGAGTGATTGTGAAATCTCCCTTCCCTGTGGTGACTTGTATATACTGATTTTGTTATAAAACTTTTTCTTCTGTAAATATGTCGGCTTCCTGTTTGGCATTCATTTCAGCGTAAAGTCAACCTTGTCCACAGATCTTTTCACCCTAAAAAAAACTTTGTAAAGACAAAAATGTTTTCCGCTTGTAAACACGTAGTGAAGCTTTAAAGCTGGTTTGCAAGATGGAGGTTCCAAAGCAACTTCGTAAAAAGGCACTTCTTGTAAAAAGGCATACACAGTCTGTGAGTCTGAGATAATACAGGACTTTGTTCAGCACACAGCAGTATTCAGTTTCTCTCCAAGTTAGAGTCGGTGCCATGTAAGATCCTGAACGTGTGCTACTCTGCAGGGATTGCAGTGTGACAGGATTTCTTATCTTCGGCATAGGGAAATACAACAGTTACTGTAGGTGCCTGAACAGTGAAGGTGTTCTGAGATTTTTAAATGGTGCCCATTGTGTTTGTATCTTTTCCTCGCTATGGATTTATTTCCATAGCAATGAGGGTTTTTTCATTTTATTTCAGTCGCCAAGAATGAGAAAAATCATTAGATTGTAACTATTTTGAGAGTGGGAGGCATCTCATTTCCAATATTTGAGGCCTTTCGAGATAGGGATGATGTAGGATTTTGTATCAGAAAGCCAAACAAATGGGAAGCAAACACCAGCTGTATATTTCCAGAAACTCTCTGTAAAATAAATTAAAATTAAGTTGAGAAATGGAGTTTGAACTTTTAAAAAATAAATAAAACTTTTAACTTGTCGTCAGTGGGATTCTGTTATTTCAGTAATGTGCACACTAGATTCATCCCGTGCTGCTTGTAATGAAGTCCTGGATGTACTTAAACAAATATTAGTCTAAAAATTTCTAAATTTGTGTGAAATTGACTAAATTATCAAATCAGAACAAGTAGCAGCAGCAGCTGTTGTGAGAGTTGGGATCATGAGCCAGCTCACATTCAGTGCTTTAGTAACCCATTGTAGCCAACATTGTTGGATGCATTCATGAATTATCTGTATCAACAAATTTATTTGAGCATAAGCTTTCATGAGCTACAGCTCACTTCATCGGATGCATTCCACTCAAATAAATTTGTTAGTCTCTAAGGTGTCACAAGTACTCCTTTTCTTTTTGCGAATACAGACTAACACGGCTGCTACTCTGAAACCTATCTGTAACAAGTCACTAAAATTTTTAGAGTGAAATATACAACAGTGAAAATGTAAATGACTGGTTTGTCTGCCTGTCTACAATACTAAAGATACTGGTAGGTTCAGGAGTTTGATAATGGTATCTAGGCTTTCATCTGGTCAAATCAATCTTCATGGTGTCATCAACCAAAGTAGTACTTGAACGTTGTTCCTAGCTGATAGCTGTTTGTCTTCATTCAAATGAGTTTGATGGTGTTGGTCCAATTGTTAGTAGGCACATGCTCATATCACAGAAATTACCCCCACTCACAGTTAGCATGGTTATTGACAATCTCAATAAAAAAAGCCAATGAGTGAATGGGGCACTGAGACTGGACTGCCTTCTCACCTCTGAGAATTTCTGTTGCCACTATTGGTGGACTGACATCTTTCAAACAAAATTAACACAAAAAGAAAAATGTAAAATCTGTGCAAAATGGGAGGAGAAAAATAAATAGACTTTTCCTGTAACATTGTTACACATAAAGGCTAGCTATGAAAATAGTTGAAAGAGGCAATATTGTCTAGCACTGTGAACATCTGACTGAGGGTCCATTTACATAGCCCGTGGCAGCAAATCTCAGATCCCGGATTGACAGACTCGGGCTTGCACTATGGCAATAGAAATAGCTGTGTACATGTTTGGGCTCAGGCTGGATCTTAGAGTCCAGCCTGAGCCTAAACATCTATACAACTATGTTTAGCGCTGTAGCATAAACCCTGCAAACCTGAGTCTGTCAATCTGGGCTCTGAGATTCGCTGCTGAGGGCTGCCACTTGCGGTGTAGACATACCCTGAGAGTCTAGATACCAGCTTCGGGATTCTGCCGCTGATACTCTCTGTAATCTGGAACACGTTATTTAATGTCTCTGTGCTTAACGTCATCTGTAAAATGGGGAAAATGATTCTTTAAATGATTTTGGTCCTGGGGTGAAAAGTTCTGTGGTCATGTGTTTTGGTATATTGACCTTTTATCTAATAGTTGATTGTTGTTTGTTAGAACAGTACTAAATGTTATGCCTAAGCAACACAGATGGCTAGTTCCTGCACCATTTAAAAATACGACCAGTCTATCTCTTAACAGGTGTTATAATAAATAGAGATTACAAAAGTGCATCATCTAGCATTTAGAGTATGGATAAACAGCATGGAGAGTACAAATATTTAAATAATCTTTTCCTGAAAAGATGACTTAAGAAATGTAGTACTGTTAATGAGTTCTGGAGTAATGTTTTTAATTTAACAGTCACAAGTGTGAGGCTACAGAGCCACCACCCTCTTTTCATATTTATAGCTGAAAACCAGCTGGTTTATCAGTGAGTTACATGCTTGCATTTGCTGTAAATCATATGTGATAAACAAAATGTGTGAATCCAAAGGTTTCCAGTTCATTTTAGTGATGCTCAAGACCATTTTAATCTCAGGATCAACAGTGCATTGATACGTAAAACCACCTGATTTAGGAAGCATGAAAATAGCATTTTATACAACTTGACAAAACTGTTAATAATAGGAAGTACAATGTAGAGTGACCAGACAGCAAATGTGAAAAAGTGGGACAGGGACTGGGGGGGGGGGGGGGTAATAGGAGCCTAAGACCCAAAAATCAGGACTGTCCCTATAAAATCGGGACACCTGGTCCTGCACAATGAAACGGTCTGGCTGAAAGCAGTGCCAATATTGTGTTCATTTTTTAGCAGGAGCAGGTTGAAATGGGCTTTTATCAACCAGCAGTGACTCTGAGCAGACGGACCAAAACCATTCTTTCTTAATTACTCTTTTCAAGGGGGCTGGGTGTTAAAGGGTTTGTATACCAGGCCTGACCCCCTTCCACAGGATATCAGGGCTGGAAGGACACAGGAGGAACAGGGAGCCTCTCAGCAAAGCTCTAACAGAACATTTGGGGCTTTCCCTTTCAGGCTCGCGGGGGGCTTGTGGAGAGCAGGCTCAGGGCCGGGGCTGGGGGTCCCTCCAGCAGGGGCTCTGGGGCCATCTGCCGCCAGACCGCCCAGAGCGCTGGGTGCTCTGCCCCGCAGCACGGCCCGGCGCTTCGGCCTGCTGCGCCCAGGCAGCTACTGCAGCCTTGACCGCGTGTCGTGACACGTGACCTGCCGCGCAGCGTGCTCGCGGGCCTGGGGTCAAAGGGGAACCGGTCCGTCACGTGACAGTCAATGCCTCTGTTTCCAAAATGGCCGCCGCCTCCCGCCCGCTCCCTCAGCCCTGGTGAAGGTCTCTGCCCACAACCAAGATGGCGGCGGCGGCGGAAGCGGTTAGTCCGGATGCGGAAGCGCTGGGGCTGGGTCGGGGTGGCGGCTGGCAGGGTCGGGCTGTGGGGGCCTGGCGGAGGGGGGTATGAAGCTGCTGCGGGTGCCGCTGGGGGCTGCCCTGGGCCTCGTGTTGCTGCTGAGCCCGGTGCAGACGGTGGAGCCCATCAGCCTCGGGCTGGCGCTGGCTGGCGCCGCCTCAGCGCTCACCGGCCTCATCTCCTACCCCCGCCTCTACTGCTACTTCAGGGAGTGCTGCCTCCAGCGGGAGGGGGCCCGGGCGGGCGCAGGTACGGGGGGTGGGGTTGGCAGTTATGGGGTAAGCACAGGGTTGGGGAGGGCTTGAGAGTTGTGGCGGGGTGGAGTTGAGCTTGAGGGCTCTTTATGTGGGGGAAGGATCAGGGGCCCCTAGGAAGATGCACCCTGAGAGAGGGGGTCAGGGCAGGGTCGCTGGGGAGAGGGATATGGGGCAGCAGGCAGAGGAACGTGGTGAGGAGCAGGGACAGGCGATTAGAGGTTGGATGCCAAGGAGGCTGTTTTGGGGGGCTCTAGGGAAGATGAAGGGAGGACTGGGCTCTGCCTTCTTCTCAAGGGATGTGTGGCTGCTTCCAGATGGAAGGAGGGAGAGTAAAAGGGGGTATGATTATCTCCACAGGAACATGGCGTAGTGTTTGGCATCTGGAACCAGAGCATCACATGCTAGGGTCTGTAGTCTCCACTGGTCATATCTATATATTAAAGAGAAAAGTGGTTGCTCTGTTCTAGTCAGGGTAGCTCTTTGATCCCCCCGGCAGCTGCCCTGGGATGAGCAAAGTTTGGGCACCCTGAGATAATGTTATTAAAGGGTCCTCTGTATTGAAGCAGCTTAGAAACGCTAAAACTTGTCACCGTCTTTTATACTTATCTGATTGGTGTCTTCTTCATTCAGCGCTCCAGGAGGATTTGGACAAGAAACTGTTTGGCCAGCACCTCGTGAAGAAGGTGATTGTGAAAGCTGTGATTGGCTTCTTGAACAATACAAACCCCAAAAAGCCTCTCACCCTCTCCTTGCATGGATGGACTGGTACTGGCAAAAACTTTGTCAGTAAAATAATTGCCGAGAGTATCTATGAAGGAGGCCTGAACAGCAATTATGTCCATCAATTTGTGTCCACTTTGCATTTTCCCCATGCACATAGTGTTGGCCACTACAAGGTAAGAGTGTATTTTGGAGCTCATCATAGGGAAGTGTGATTGTATTAGTTTATAAAGGTTATGGGATCGGGAGTACTAGCAAGTGAAGACTTTTTATCTGAAACAGTAAAATACAATGTATGTCGAGTCTGAAGTGCAAATGTGTATACCGTAACATTTAGGGACTGATTTCCCCTGGATGTAAAAAAAAATTGTTTATGCATCCTCTCATGTTTCTATCTAGAGGGAAAGGACACGGGTAGGGCATTAACATGGGACTTGGAACGGAGAACTGAACCCAAGTATCCCACCACAGGCTTCCTGTGTAACTTTGGGCATGTGACTTAGTCTTTCTCTGCCTCAGTTTCCCAATTGAAAAATGGGGCAAGTAGTACTTTGTCCCTCACAGCGATGTTGTGAGCATGGATACATTAAAGCTTGTGAAATGCTGAGATACCACAGTGACAGGGGCTATATAAGTACCTCAGGCAGGTAGATATGTGAGGCCGCACGGTTTAGAGAAATACCATTGTTTGTGTTCCTGAATTTTAATCCTGAATCTACCACTGGGTTGTGTGAGAGAGTCTCTTCTGCTGTCTGCGAGATGAGGATGAAACTTTTTTACCTAACAGGAGTATTGTGCTGATTAGTGAATGTTTGTACAGTGTTTTGAACATGTAAACACAAAATGTATGCATGCTGAAGACTTAAAGGAATGGAACAGTCTATACATAAGCTTTTAAAATGGAGAATTCTACTTTTTCTCTAGTTTATATGTTTCCCCTTGTAAAGCTTTCTATTGTCCTGCCCCAGCTGAGTCTTTCCTAAATGCAGTGGGAGAAATGGATCTTTATGCTCTTTGTTCACTTACAAAGAAAAACTGCTTGTGAAATGTACCATGTGGACAGTGCTAGAAATTAAAGCCCTCTTTATCCAAAGCACAGGCAGTGCTGTCTTCCCTGCACTGCCTCACCCATGTGCAGGAACCAAATAATAGTGAGACTGGTAAAATGATGATGATCACTGGAGGTGATCAGCAGAGTCATTGTTGGTTTTAAATCAACTGTCCCAGTTCCTTTTCTTTCTCATTGCTAATCTTAAACGTAACATTTAACAGTGGGTAAACCCTTGTGCCATACAATACAATACTTAAATGAGGTTAACCCCCTTTCTAAACAAAACTACACTTTTGAAAGGTTTTTAATCACCTCCAGTTAGATTATTTACTAGGGCTTAAAGCACGGGACTAGGAGTTATGATTCTAGGTTCAATTCCTAGCTGTTCCTGTGATTTTATTATGTGACCTTGGCTAAATCACTTAATCTCTTGCTGACTCAGTTTGTGCAACATTCATTAGTTGGGTAATGTTTGAGATCTAAGGATGGAATATGCTACATGACTGCAGAGTATTAGCACCAGAGAAAATAGTTTGCCCCACTGGGCTTCACTTTGTCCTACAAGCCAGATCACTGCTTTGTATTGATGTTCATTCACTGGCTTAAAGTATAGTCCTTTTTCATAGATACCTGGCAGACAGATTCTGGTAACTCACCCGAGTTCTTAAGGTTATTTTAACAACAGAATGCATTTCTGTTACTGTTCTTTTTATCATTGTTTACTGTTGACCTTTTAACCAGTTTTGGATCAAGAAATTCACAGAACTACAGGTACACAATTGAAGTTACAGCTTTTGAATGGAAAGGGGTGATCTAAAATCTACATATTTCCCGTGTCTTTAACGTGATATTGATGGAAATGGAATTTGCGTTCTCCTTTATTTTGTGTAACAGGACCAGTTGCAGTCATGGATTCGGGGAAACGTGAGCGCCTGTGGCAGGTCAATCTTTATATTTGATGAAATGGATAAAATGCATGCAGGGCTCATTGATTCCATCAAACCGTTCTTGGACTATTACGAGCAGCTTGATGGAGTGTCCTATCGGCGAGCCATCTTCATCTTTCTCAGGTAAGGAGCATCTGTGAAATACTTGCAATGCTATAAACTGAATGCTCTGAGAAACACATCCAGCTGAAATCCTTTCCCTCCTTCACACAGCAATGCGGGGGCTGAAAAGATAACAGAGGTGGCATTAGATTTCTGGAAAAGTGGAAAGAAAAGGGAAACCATGGAACTCAAAGACCTGGAAGCTGGAGTGTCTCTGTCTGTCTTCAACAATAAGAATAGTGAGTAAAATTGGTTATTCCCGTGTCTAAAAATACTTCTCTTTGAAAGAGTGGTTCTGCATCTATTTCTGGTATTTGTCAACTGCCTCTCCTTTGGAGAACACCTAAGAAACAAATGTTTCAGTTGTAATGGTCCCAGTGGTAATCATGGGATTGCCATAATATTTCACTCTTTACATAGTTTGACTCTTCAACAGACTATATGCAACTTTTAAGTGAGATTATTTTATGCATCTTTTTGCTGCCTGTGGCACTGACCTACTATCTCTGATGAGGAAGGTTGCCATTCCCCTTTCCAAGACTGTAGATAGATTTATTTGGCTCATAATCAGAGGGTCCACGATAAATGCCACACCCCAATCCTTCCTTGCCCTTCAGAATTGAGGGTGGATGGATTGCCAGCCTGAGTTAGTTTTCCTTAAATTATAATGGCATAGTTGTGTAGTTACAAAGTTATTTTTAAGAATAGCTTAGAAATAAACCTTCTAACAATGGAACCGGACTATTACAGCTCTCCAGCAGAGCAGTCTGCAGAATGACAAACTAAGAAATGCACTCAGTGACTGTTGTGTTAAACGATGGATTCTGCATCTGTTGGTTGATGTTGTTCTTTTGAGCAGCCTTAGGATGAGAGAGAGAGAGAGAGAGAGAGAAACTGCTTTTACCATGGTGAAAGTGCACACAGGTTTATTTACCAAGAGACAGAGAGAGAAGCAAAAATGGCAGGGCTAGAGTTGATGTGAACTGGTGTGGCGGCAGCAGTTGCAGCTCTGTGTGAACTCCAGTTTTCAGGCAGGGAGGTGCCATGGTATAGTCATGAAGTATTCAGACTGATGCTGTTTGGTTGCTGGTTTGAGATGGAGAGGAGTGGTGCAGTGTGAAGGACGTGGGACTGCTCTGTAATTCATTAACATTGTATGTGACCTGGCTCTTGAGAAGTTCACTGTGTCTACAACACAGTATGGATAAATAAATGGTTTTTAAAAAAAATTTAAATCTGACTTTTTGTTTAAATTTTTTCTTTTTTTTTTAAATCTATTTAAAATTAAACATCTGGTTATGACAACCTGTGCTAAGGTCTAAACTTACTATAATCTATTAACATTTAAATTAAATAAAAAATATTAAGCATTACATGTTTGCTGCCAAATTTTAAAGAAAGTCAAACCACTGAACTGGTGGAAGTCACTGGCCAAACCAGCGTTCGTTGAAGTGCTAAACCAGCTTTTGACAGCAGTAGCCTCTTCAGCAGATGCAGAGAAAGTTATTGGGTTTTTTTTTTGGTTGGTTGGTTTTTACTTTATTCAGATAGGTCAGTTCAATGACTTTCATTCAACGAAAAGAAACCAATGGGAGTTGAAGAAACAGGAAAACTTGTTTTCCTCTTCCGATCTATGCGTCAGAGGATGACGTGTACTAGTTCTAAAATCCTAAAGGAGATGATGACGTGAAACAAGCAGTTAAATTCACTAACCACAGATAGTATTTTCTTTGTTTAAGAAATCAGTTTTAAATGCAAAACATTCTGATAAACATTTTGATACAAATCACAAATACATTTTTTTTAGTTAATAAGTGTATCATTCACCATTTCTGGCATAACAACAAATATAAAAAATAAAAATCTGAATAAATATAAATTAAGCTATATAACTGCTTAACTATGTATAGGTAACAGCACATCCTCTTAGTTAGCTTCTCCCACCCCCAACAAAAGCACCAAATTTAATGTAAAAGCTCTATTCAATTGGAAACCAACCTGTTTTAATGGTTACCAACCAATAAGAATCAACCTTTCTTTAGGAAAGTAACTAAAGTATAAATGCAAAATTCCATTAAAACTGATTATTTAATTAAGTTTTCCTGCTTGCTGATTTGCATTAATTAAAATTTGGTGGTTTTAAATCACTTTGATTTAATTCTACCCACTCTGCTGCATTGGGTTAAATATTGGGATATCTACTATGTGCATTTTAGTTTAACAGCAGGCGGTTGGGGAATAAAAACATGCCCTCGTAAACACTTGAAGGAGGCTTAGAGAAAATACCTGGGATATTAGCTGTGAGGAACCTACTTCCTTGGCTCCAGCCAAATTACAGAGCTTGTTTTGCCCAGCCTGGAAATCAAAATGACAATTTAAAAGATTCTCTGGCAAGAGGTCAGGTAGTCGTTTGTGGGGAATAAACTGAAACACTCATAGACCCTGCTGGAGGGTCTGAAGCAGAAAGGCCTTCCTAGGCTTCCAAGTCAGGGAGATGGTCAGCCATAGGTAAGATAGACATGTGCATGGCCCTTTGTTTTAAAATCCTCTTTGTTATGCTTTATTTCTACTGCTAAGATTAAACAATACTTTGGTTTGAAAAGGCTGTCTGGTCACTGTATTTACTGCTGGCCATGGGCTCCTGAAGGGAAGAACTGCAGGTACCCAAACCCGGTTGAACCTGTTAGAGTAAGCAAGGTTGATCCACCAGATACTGTGGCCAGGTCCCAGTCTAAAAGTGGGAGAATTGTAGGATTCTGCCCCAGGACAGGTAAAGGCTTAGAGCCTAACACCTGAGGGGCCGCACTGAGACTGGAGAGCGGGCAGAGGTGCCGCTAGCCTTGAAACCTTGACATGCAGCAACAGCTCCAATGTGTGAGGTTTCTGTGTCCATCTTGCTTGGCTTAAAGTGAAGCCACGCTCCTACTATGGCAATGTGGGACCTTATAAAAAGAGAAGTGATTGTGGTAAGAATACAAACCAAGAGTAAACAACTTTAGGGTGGGTAGCAGGGAGTTGTGATAAATGTATCCCCCTCCCTACTAGCTGTCAGCCTCCACAAAAGGTGCACTAACCAACAGTATTTTTTGCAGGCGGCTTTTGGCACAGCAGCCTGATCGACAGAAACCTCATTGATTATTTTGTCCCCTTTCTGCCTCTGGAGTACAAACACGTGAAAATGTGTGTCAGGGTTGAACTTGAATCACGTGGCTACATGGTGGATGAAGAAATCATAACCAAAGTAGCTGATGAGATGACCTACTTCCCCAAGGAGGAGAAAATCTACTCTGATAAAGGATGCAAAACTGTGTTCACCAAGCTGGATTTTTACTATGACTTGTAATGTTTACGATGCTGTGATCTGCAAAGGAAAAAATGAACCTAATCATGAAGTGGAGAAACCGAAACATTTCATTTGTCAAGCACTTTTTTAAAAAAAAGGAACATTGTCATTTAATTGCCTGATGTAAATAAGTGGCAAGACACTTGTCTTTTTATTCTGGGAGAGCCCTGTAATAGTCATATCTTCAAAAGACATCAGTCCTGTGCCATGAAGTTAGGGAAGAACTGTGCATGGAGCAGTCACCCCTTCCAGAGTATTGTCTAACAGTACCTATGATTTATCTCAAATCATGGATTGGTTGATCGTTACAATTGTTCAGTGGAACACAGATATGTACGTTAGACCTGCAGTTTTGATCTGGTTTTAATTAGGTTTTAATTTGTAGAAATGGTTTCCAGATGATACAGAATATTTTAATCAAGGCCCTTATAGCTGCAAGACCATTCCTAGGAGTTGTGGGTGGGGTATTTCCCAGACTGTCTTTGAGAGGTGGATATGCAGGTTTTTGTTTTTCTTAAAAACAACCAGCCTTGGTGCTTCCAGCTCTACTGGAACCAAAGTGAGGGAGTGAGCCCATATGTCCTTTTACCTAGCATTATGCAGTGCCATTCTTATAAAAACAAGGGTGTAAACTGTCCCTTCTGGTGCCAGACTGCATTAGCGATGTGGAATCCATCTCTGATAAGGGAAGGTCAGTGTGTGAAACAAGGCTGAGTAGGAGGAGGAACTGCAGCAAAGTTGTTGACTGTATCCCTGTAATGGAGTTAGTTCCTCCTTTGGCTGTTTGCTGTGAAGTGTAGCTGTGACACTTTCCTTTCTGGTAATGAAGAAAAGGGCTGTTTACTAAAATCTAGTGTTTGGCGTTTGTTTCATAGAATCAGAGTAATTGGAAGGCAGAATCTGTTAAATCCTATTCAGTCCATGTGGCTGCTGTAAGATTTTCTTTAGTTTCAAACTTTTCTAAATGCTGAAAGTAGCAGTCTGGGTAATTTTTCACCCCTTTCAAGCTCTGTGTGATTTAGTTTTGATCCTAGCCTTACAAGGCAGTGCCATGTGGAAAGGGATGAAGACAGCTTCAAAACTACCTGGGAAAATATTTAATTACTGTAATGCCATCAACTAAAGTTACAGCAGCCTATCTGCCAGTTTTAGTTATAATTGCCAACACTGTTAACTTTTTTGCATTTCAGTTTCTAGATCTTACAATTTCAAAATAAGATTTTTATAATTCCCTCAATAAAAGTTCTCACCAGTAACATTTGTATATGGTACCTCTCTGCTATTTGCATATATTGAAGGGACTGCCTCATGGTTACCTTTGTATGTAAATTTACCATCTTACCATGCTTATTCTGCCTTCTGGTTAGAGGCATTCTGCTGTGCTTGAATACAAACTTCCATGTTCATTTTTTGTGGCTAGGCTACAAAGGGGCTAGGTAGTGGAGAGAGACATGGTTCTTTAGCCATTGCTGAAAAAGATTAGCTAAGTCATTATGGTTTGCAATGTGAAGCAAGTGAGTAATTAGTGCAGACTGCTTGGGATTGTGCATGAATTTTCTAAAGCTATGCTAGTGCAAACCAGGCTCCTGTCTCTTTGTAAGAGGAACAGTCTTCCACAGGCTGTAGTCTCAACTGTATTCTAAAGGTGCCTAAAACACTGACTGAAATTGTCCAGCTGCTAGAGTAGATTAAAACCCCACTTCCTCTTAAAATGCCCACTTCTTATTGATGTCACTAGCATGGGTGACTAGTTACAGTAAGTGATGATGGCCGTGGTTATGTCTACATTGTGCCACAGTGCAGACCAGTGGTGTGTGAATTGCAGCAGGCACCAGGGTGCTGCATTATAACTGCTGTGGACGCTGTACCTAGTTTGCAGTAATGTAGTCCTCTTCA